TCCTCACTTCTCTTATTTATCTAACGATGTAAACGTAATTATTCCACTTCTAACTCCGTGAAGATTTTCGTATGGTTTAAAAACTACTCCATGAATATGCATAAAAAAATGGAAGTTAGCCGACCGTACCAAAACTGGGGTCCATCTATTAGCATGTTCATCGAAGTCAGTGGCGCCAATGGTACCTTATATACAAGACCGGTTTACTTTTGACTGAACAGCCACTAGACAAAATTTTCTCTCGTTCGTCTTTCGTCCATACCCGTGCAGTGGGTTGTCCCTGTTACTCAACAAAACATGATCTGACGGACAGGCGGACTTTGGTATCCCGTTTTAAAAACACCGTTGCTGTATTCGATGGAATGTTAAGGACGTTTCATAATGGTCAGCATCCTCAAAATAATGCTAATATTTTTTACGTAGCATCACTCAAGAATCCATATTCGATGTATATACCGAGCGTGACGCTAAATTCAGACTTGCAGCTACTGTATTTTTTTTAAATATCCGTTTTCGTTGGATTTTCGACTTGTCACTGATATCTTTCGAGTTGAGGTCATTGCTGAAGCTGCCAATGGCCCAACGACGCCTGCTGCAGATAAGATTCTGCAGAAGAACAACATTTTGCTCATTCCGGATCTATTCGTCAATGCCGGAGGAGTTACGGTATCCTATTTCGAATGGCTCAAGAACTTGAACCATGTCAGCTACGGCCGATTGACTAGCAAGTACGATTGGGACACCAACCACATGTTGTTAGGTAATCGTCCGTAGAAGGTTATAGAAAAATCGGTTAATTATGCGCAATCCCTTTTAGAAAGCATTCAACAATCCTTGGAAAAAACTCTGTCAAAGGAAGCCGGTAAAGTACTGATTCAGGCGACAGAAGAGTATGCCAAACGCATGTCAGTATGTATCTCTTTGTACTTTATTTGTCATGGCCCATTTTACACGCTTGTTTCAAGGGTGCCGGTGAGAAAGACATCGTCGAAAGTGGTCTAGCATACACAATGCAAAGATCAGCAAAGGTAAAAACTATTTAAGATAAGTTTAGTAATTATTATAAGTGCCCCAATACTGTGGACAGCCAAACGTGTATTTCATACAAAGTCTCTAAGAGAATTAGGTAACTAATTTTAACAAAATTTCTCAAATACTCTACTTAACTAAGATAAGCATTTTAGATTTTCTATCTAAATAGTAAGTTCCAGTTTTACAAATTGTAGCACTACTGCTGATTCCCCAGCAAGATCCCGAAAACTTTGTACTTCAAGGAAGTAAACCACTTTTAGGGCAAGTTTAACTTGTTTGAATTTGTCACCGCCGTTTGGAAGACGAATTTTCATTCGCAAGGGGTTCGAGAATTTTGTTCGTTCAGGAGGCATGACAAGCATAATAATTATCTTAGCTAAAGAAGACACAGAAGTACCACATTAGTGGAGAAACGTCTGACGTAACATGAACAGTTTGAAAATAACAGGCGTCACGTCAGGCTCATGACAAACATTTCCTTCTGTCCGTATTTAAAATGAATGACCTGATTGGCCAACTCTCGAGACACAGCCACAGATGCATTCTACCGTACGGAGGCTTACCAGCTTTTGTTTAGTACACTGTTTTAACTCTAACGCCAATGCATTTGACTTACATTTGACTCCTGTTGGTCATGTCTACATTTTCTTCGAGTACTAAAGCGATTCGACAGGAACACAGCT